CCCCCCCCCCCCCATTATTATTAACAGAGTACGAAAGCTATAAATTAACAGAATACGAAAGCTGAAAATTGCTGTTTCTTATCAGAAGTAACAAAGCACAAAGCTTATTGTGATTATTGGATGGGAATCTGTCTCTGTTCTTTCTTTAGAGCTGCTCCCTGTGTTCAGTGGCCTATTTATCGGAGCCCACCACAGACATTTCCATGAGCGAGATCACCTCCTTCACAAATCCCTCAAGCACCCACAGCTATTTTAGACAGCAGTCATGTGCGCATGAGCAGAAAGCACACAGCTGCATTTGGGTGTCATCTCAAGGTCTTCAGAATAAAGATGTGAAATAAACCCATATTTTTGGGGAGCCTTCTGTGTGAGTGCAAACCAGAGCTGGAATGCTGGAAATATCAATACCGGTATCAGGACCTAGTAGCAATACTGTGATTAAAACCAGAACTGTTTTTATCCATACTTTCCAGTATTGAAGAAAATAAAAGTATTTAAAATAAACATGTTATCTTGGATTTTTATTATATATTAAACTCATCTAATGTATTCTGAGATTGCCTTCTCTGAGGATACATGCAATGCAGCCTTAAAAATCTGGTTAAAATTAAGCAGCCTAGGAGGCAACATAATTAAATTACCTACATTTACACACCAAAAGCAAAATTAATAAGCTATAGGAAATGCAAATTCACGTCCGTACAATAGAGAGCTGCCATTCTGGATAAAAGAAGAACAGGATACAGGAGAAGCAAGGGCAAAACTCATTTCAGTAATAAACTTAAAAAAAACAATGTCACCAAATCAGCAGCGTAGATGGACATGTGAAGCTCAAATTTTATTTGCTGGTAAAAACATTCAACATCCACTGCAGAAAAAAGTTTTTTGGCAAGTAAATGTTCTTATTTGATGTGAGTAACTCCATAAGAATCCATTGTTTCTATTCAGAAACTTTACTCTAAATATTTGCATTTGGTGTGAAAGGGCCTTTGCTGTATCCATACTTTTTGGAACATAGCAACAGCCTAATTGAAAAATGTATTACATTTAGATTTTTGCAGATGAATTTATTCAACTTTTGATAAGAAAGAATTGCCTAATAAAGCTAAAAATCTAACTTAGCTCTCTGCTCTATTTGTTTTTCAAACAACAAATTATTACCAACAAGCTCATTGCTGACATCAGAACAGTTAAGCAGGCGAAGAAACGCTCCACTATGCTTCTCTGACACATTTTGCTACTAATCTAGAGATAACAATACTGGTAACTAGTTACTAAAAGTGGAAAACTATGAAAGTGGGGCAGGGTTCCCCATACATGGACTTATTTGTGGCGGCCCGCCACAATATCAACACTGACTGCCACAAAGATTTTCCAAAATGCACTGCACGTTTCAAAATCAAAACTGGTGGTTTTATATAAATGTATCTTTTTTTAAGGGAACCGATTGTCTTCAGAAAAGTTTTGATGTCATTTTCATTTAATCTTTCCTATAATGCCTGATAAAGTAGCATTCATGAACGCAGCTCTGTTTTGATTACAGCCGTGACCGGGGAAACCGCCGTTTCTGCCGCTCTGAAAGCGCCTCCTGCTGGCAGAGAATGAATTTGCACTTTCAATAAGCCCATCTGCTGTTTTATATTTACATTATACAGTATACATATATATTTCCCCCAGGGGTATTAACCAACAGAATGGATGGCTGTTATTTCAGAGTGTAAGAGTAGCTGGCTCATGAGGCCCTGCTGTTGCATACTGCAAATGAGAACTACCCACAGGTCTCAACGTGCCTACAGGGTAGGCCTGGGCGATAAAACGGTATCGATATTCATCAACGATACACTATCATCGATATCGATAGAAAATTTTTTAAATATATCGCACGATAGTTTCAAGCTTTTTCCATTTAAAGGCGCATGTTATGAGTGACAAGTAGAGAGCCAACAGAACACACAAACACACGCTGAAATAAGTGCCGTGCCTGCCTGCGATGAGGAGACTGTGAATTAAAAAAAGGAATATTAGTCTAATTTAAAATAAAAATTTGCATTCAAATGAAAAAATTGTATATTTGAATTTTAGGTGTGCGTCAGGGAGCCTTATCAGTGGCGCACGAGATGCGGTGAGGATGATGTTGTTGCATTTTAATGTTTTTGTTAGTCTATATCCAGTTGAAACCACAAGATGCGCCACTGCTGCATTTCCCATTCAAAATATTAGAGAACTATAGAAGCTCAATGCGGAGAAGATATTCGTTAGGTTAAAACCAAAACCAAGCCATTCACACAGAACTGATATTCGACGCATTCTTGAGACGCACAACTATGACTGTTGCACTCGTGTCCTGCACAAGAGTTGAATAGAAAGCCATGTAAAGTTAAAAGAGGTTAAACTTTTAGAAAACATGTCTCAAGAATTTGTGGGGGTTTTATTCCATTAAAACTGCGTCTCATATGTTTTTACATGCAATCGTGTGATCGGCACTTTGGCTTTTCATATTAAGCTATGCATATATACATGATGCTGTTTTGTTCATTATTGTTTACGCAATTTACGAAATCATATTTGATTTATAAATATTAGTTTAGACGTTATGTACTTTTTTGTAGACAGACGTTATTTTCATTGCATTGAATAAACCGTTTAATGAGGTGCATTATTTTGCTCATTGTGCCCTCCTGTGGCCTCAGGAGACAGGCCAAATGTTTCCTTAATACTCATTTAATCTGCATATAAAATATAAGAAAGGAGATATTTGTTAAAATTTTATTCTATTTTGTTTTAATTGTTATTTTGTTTGTTAAGACTAAAATAAGTTGTTGTTTGTCTTAATAAATTGGGTAAATTAAAAATACAGTGGTTAAATTTAAACCTTTTTTCTACTACTCTGTTTAAGAAAGGTTATAAAACATTTTCAACAATTATCGATACCGAACGATATGAAACATCATATCGTAATAATTTTTTTAGTTATATCGCCAGCCCTACTACAGGGTGACAAACTGTACTGTATATTACATTTACGTACACTGAAAAATGTGCACCTACTAAAATTGTTAAATGTTATTAATCTTCAAACCTGCAAATGGACTACTGCGAGCCACAGTATAGTAATCTTTGTAAAACAGAACACAAACTCCTTCCACATTCATGTGTATAGACTGCCACAAAAGAATGTTTTGCCTTGTAAACTTTAAGTAGCTTGGCTTTTATACAATGTATTATTATTGTGTGGCCACAATAATAAAATGCTATTGAGTGTTAAATCTGTGGTTCACACTTACTGCCATGACCAGTTCAAAAGGATGTTTGTACACCCTCACTGGGGACTGATACTTCTGCACCATGGTGGAGCCTACAATGGTGCTGACAACCTAAAAAGAAAAAAAGCCAGGAAAGCAATCAAACATTGCATCTTATGTAATAAACCCAGCAGATTTGGCCTGATTTCTCAGAATTAGTAATATTACATAATACACGTAAACAAGCACAGCATGTGGAAACATCAATTTCTATAAGCAAATACCTACATTTGAGCAAAGAATGCAAGAATCTTAATCTTTAATATGTAATGCACAAATTGTCTAGTGGCATGTTGGAAGGTCAGGAATTTCAGAAATGTCCAGTTCAGGCAATTTTATGTTGATTTTGTTGCCTGAATATACAAACAGATGTCAGAATGAGAAAATACTTTTTTGTATTTATGACAATAAATACAAAAAATATTTATGTTGTAGACACAGAGCAATGCAAACTATACTCTAACTTGAAACTAAATGCTTTTAACTTTTGATCACTTTTTTATGTCCGTCCCAGTAACAAACCAAGTTAAATGTTATAACGGCAATCCTACCTGCCCAATGCCAACACAAACAGACTTGTGATTTGTTATTTCTATGGCATGTACTATGTGGATATCTTATTGGGCATGTAGGAAATACTTCCCTGAATCAAGGTAACGTACATCGTGCTTTACAGATAACAAGGGAAGCGTACAAAACTGGTAATTCAAAATTAAAAAAACACGCTACCCAATGATGAACTAAAACAGCTATATTACGGTCAATAATATCATATACCATACAAAACACAGTGATCTAGTACAATAACTGCTGCGATCACTAATAAATAAAACCCATTCGTGTGAGTTACACTGACGTTAAACTGGATGAATCTGTTTATACTAGCATGTTTTGGGTGTGATCGGTGTAAAACAAAATGACAGCGACATAAAATAATCATGACTCAACGTGCATTGTCTAAACCGAGAAACAATTTGTCATTATAGCATGTCAGCCATAAAACTCTCTTTAAATAATTGTAATGTCTGCTTATTTCTCCACATTTAAAACTTTTATATTATGAATAACATGTCTCAGCTCTGTAGCTAACGCAATTAGCCGGTTAGCACACCCAATACCGTCTCTTAACGCCCTCACTTTAAACTCAAACACAAAACTCCTTTTATTTTATTCCTTAAATATGTGTTATTTAATACCTATATAATTTAATATATCGTTATTAAAACAGGGCACATACATTCATTAACGCTTATTATGGGAGACGGATAACGTGCTAACTGTTTTAGCAAACAGAAATAACATTATTCAATTTTTACATTGTTGAAACAATATCTATTTTCATACGCATTTTGTAGCAGTGATCGAAGCTGTTTGTTTTTTGTCAACGTATTTTGTAAATGTACTTACTGAAACAAAATATGAGGAACTGAAAACAGATTATTCGTAGCAGAAGATAAAGCAGTCCTTATGAATGTGAAAGATGTTCTGTAGGTTTTCTAGACGTTAGGATTTGTGGGTTCTGAAATATCCATGACTGAGGTGATCTCTCGGAGACCAAGTCCAGACTCACGGATCCACTGCTGCTGAATCTGCCCCATCATACACTGACTGGCCGCAGTGAAGAGAAAAACACTGCTCCGCCTCCTTGTCTCAGTATTTTTCCGAAGTCTAGTTTTCTGTAATTGTCATCGCCACCACGCGGCTGACCGATAAACAAACACCACAAGAAAATTCACCTCAGCAAACCTAGAACACATTCATGCATAGTTAACAATTTTTGGTTCCCAGAACGTTCTGGGAACGTTAGTTTTTTGTTCCCAGAAGGCTCCCTGTTGGTTTTATTTTTACAGACATTAAAAATGAATAACATTTATTTGACTTTAACTAGGATAACATTACATTCATTTCTTACCACTGAATTAGCGATGATGTGCTTCTCTTTTTTTGGTCAGTAAACAAAAAACTTCTGGGTTAACATCATGTTCTCTTCAATTAGACGTATCAAATCTTTCTGAAATTCCAATATTTACTCTCTTGTAAATATTATTATAAGTAATTATTCAATAAAGAGATCAATAAACGAATGTTGGACAGTCAGTGAAACAAAATGACCATTACATTTTAAATTAAGCGCGTGCGCGTCTTTCCGTGGAAGACAGGAGAAAGCGCGTGCTGGAGAAGAGCGCGCAGAGAGGGGCTGCGTTTATGGCAAGCCAAGAGCTTCAAATTTACGCTATAGAGAAATCGCGTTTACATACAAAACGCCTATTTGACGGCGTTTTAAACAATATTAGCGCCGTCAAATATGCCTTCCTGATAGCAGACGCTGTAAAAAATGCGCGTAAACCGTAAAAAAAGCCGTGTTTCGGCTTGCCACAGGACGCCGTAAAAACGCCTTCTGATTGCACAAAAGCGCTCGTTATTCCATCCTTATAGTATAATGAGCCACGCCTGCTTCTTCTTCTTCTTCTTCTTCTTCGGTTTTATGGCGGGTAGCACCGCTGTTAAGGTGCATTATCGCCACCTACTGTACTGGAGTGTGAACCAGAGTTTACCCTTTCATAATAAGAGGACACAACAAAAATAAAAAAATTCCCTAAATAAAATAAAAACATGTTTACTTCTTTACCTCAAGAAGATTTTTCCCACTAAATTCTCTTAATCAGCTCTGTTCTCTTAAGATACAAAAATAAACTTTCTAGTCCATAAGTAAATATATTTTTAAGCTTTAGGTTATCCACTCCCATCTTTCTAAGTTCATTCTTCATTGTTTCTCGTTCATTAGTATACTTTTGACAAACACAAATAACATGTTCTACTGATTCCTCCATTCCACAGTGCTCACATAATCCTGTTGAGCCACGCCTGCTGATTTCCATAGCCAGTAATATTGAACTGTTCTCACCCAATCAATGATGAACAGAACCAGACCAGACTAATTTACCACAGATCGTTTTAGCGGAAGAAGTGCCTGATAGGAAATATTAAGTAACTTTTTGTATATTTTCATCTCTAAAAATATTGAACATAGGCCGATTCCACGTCTTTATCATACTTTAATGTAATTGTTAATTACATGGACAGCATTTTAGCATACCAACCCCTTGTTTATATATCATTTATTACATAAATACCTTTTATGTATATAAATAAGTGCTGGTTTATAATATTCAATTAGCTTTGAGTAATTTAATTTCCAATACAAGAAATCGTTCATGCTAGCGGAAGTCAGAGAGTGTGTAAAAGCCGTGCAGCTACAGAAGTTGGAGGCAACGGTCCTTAGCCTTTTTGTTATAGAGTGTTTGACCCCTATACCGCCACGACCGCTGGTTCGAGTCCCGCTCCAAACAGATTCTGGTATACGGGGAGCTTGCTTGCTGTTTAACAAACAAATATACGGTGAAGCATTGCTGCCACACATATAATTTTTTCCGCTCACGTCATATTAACTAGATGTTACGTCGTTAAAACGACATAATTATCTCCTTAAAACGACATATTTCTTTCTCGTAATAACGACATGTCATAAAAACAATATGATTTTCCCGTTATAGATTACATTATGTGAGCGAGCTAAGCGATTGTCCGCGCTGCTGTCACCGCAGTCCTGACATAAACGAGCATCTACACGCTGCTGAAGTTATAAAAATACACTGTTTTAAATGTATTGTAATATTTTTACTGTAGCGTCATGTTTATTAGGATTAATCTCCAATCTTACTACAATATGCTATCCAATAACTGCACTCAGACCCAGAGGATATGACTCGTTTAAGATGATCAGATCAAACCAGTTATTTTTTAATAATACCGACTCATGGGCTAGGAATATTTCTTTATTTGAGTGACTCAAGTTTGATTTAACAACAAATCTAAATACGAACAAAAATAAATAAAGAGAAATGACAGTTTGATTTTATTATTATTATTATTATTATTATTATTATTATTATTATCACTATTGTAACATCAATTTTGAAGTTGATGTTAAGGCTGTGGGGTTGCGTTTGTGTGTGTATTACTTAATGACAGTTTTATTTTATTATTATTATTATTATTATTATTATTATTATTATTATCACTATTGTAACATCAATTTTGAAGTTGATGTTAAGGCTGTGGGGTTGCGTTTGTGTGTGTATTACTTTTCTGTCCCTCGGGGCTTGCCGTAGGCAAGGTTTGGGCACGCACATGTTAACGAGAGCGAAAGTGAGTTTCGCTTTCTTTATTTTATTATTTGAAAAGTGTTTAGGCGAACCCGAGGCGTAAGCTCGCTCACATTGGTGGCAGCGGTGTTGTTTTGGGTGAGTTTACTTAGTGTTGTAAAGTGTTTCGACGGGTGTTAAATTAGTTAGCTTAAAGGGGTCATCGGATGCAAAATTCACGTTGAGGTGCTTTATTGTTGGATGTAATAATGAATATAGCAATCGTCATTTACTCCCCAGACATCTGAGCTGCTGAAGACGCAGAAAATTAACGTTACTTTCGCTTTGAAGTGAATGCGCCACTCCCGATCAGCCTAAATGCATCTATGTTCGCTCGAATCATTCGTGATCCAGCCTCATCTACAGTGTGAGTATAAGTTTTTTATGTTATACTCACTCAGTTTTTTATGAATCTTTGCAAATCACCTTTCCTAATAATGCGTTAATTAGCAAGTTTCACGATGAATGCGGCTAAAGTAAAGAGTCTCTCTGAGAGCAGCTTGGAAGAGAGGGGCGGGGCCAGCAGAGCTCATTAACATTTAAAGCAACATGGACTATAATGGCTTGATAAAAACAGAACGAGAGGGGCGGGGCCAGCAGAGCTCATTAACATTTAAAGCAACATGGACTATAATGGCATGATAAAAACAGAGCTGATTTGGACAGGTTTAAAAAGGTGTTTTTTACACTAACATTGAGAAATTTTAACCAAAGCATGTTATAGACTTTTAATTAAGACCCTAAAGAATCATATCAACTTGTGCAAAATGAGCATCCGATGACCCCTTTAAATTCAAAAGTTTATAGTTAGTAGTACGCGCGGTCTACGCATCGTCAGTATGTGGTTCAAGGAGGAAGACAGTTTTAGTGCGAATTGAATGGCCATCTCCATTCTCCGGGGAGGAGAGACAAAGTTTTGTGTGCTGGACGAGACAGTTTGAAGTTGCTGTCAAAGCGCTCACTGAAGGGAAGCCGTAATAATCGCAGGTCGGTGCGAGAACGCAAGAAATGCGATGGAAGACAGTTTTAGTGTTTTGCAGGACCGTGACAAAGGCAATAGGAGCGTGCGAATTGAATTGCCATCTCCATTCTCCGGGGAGGAGAGACAAAGTTTTGTGTGCTGGACGAGACAGTTTGAAGTTGCTTTCAAAGCGCTCACTGAAGGGAAGCCGTAATAATCGCAGGTCAGTGCGAGAACGCGAGAAATGCGATGGATGTGGGATATGAAACTGCTAATGTCGGGCATAATTTGACGGCCAACGGGGCTGGGGCCAGTGTGAATCCTGTGTCGGACATTGGTGGACTGTACAAAGCAATTGATAGGTTAACTAATGAGGTGAGAGACATGAAAGTCACCCTTAACCGTTTGGAGGACGAGAATGACAGACTGAAAGAGAGAATGAGTCGGAGTGGCAGAGATGAGTGGAGTAGAGCGCGCACCCCGTCACGTGAGTCAGGACAGTGCTGCTGTCAGGGGCGTGCTTGCCGTATGCAGGCATATGAGATGCAGAGAGGCCGCTCTTCTGAAAGAATACCGTTTATGGAGTTTAATAGTCGTAAGGACCACAACTCAGCCCGCGCTAACAGCCCCAGCATGCGGAGACGAGGCAGTTATGAGGAGGAAACTAGGAGACAGGGAGTGCGCTTCATGACCCCTGGTGATGAGGAGAGGAATTACGAGCCGGGAAACGGGCTATAGCTGATGTTGCGGCCCAAACACCAGCTGTATTACACAGGGGCCCGAAACCTTATGACACAACCTTATTGGACACAAACACTGACCAGGGGCCTCTGGTATCATATGTGAAAGGCACAATTGAGGGCATCGAGCTTCCTATCCTAATTGACTCTGGTTCTAGTGTATCACTGATGAGCTCTGATTTTCGAATGTCAATCCCTGCACTTCGCAGTCGACCTCTAAAGAAAGACTATATTGCAGCTCGTGCTGTAAACGGACAGATGATGGACACGCTGGGCACACTTACTGTGACACTACAGCTGGGTACTGAAATCTGGCTACATGTTTTCATATAGTGAGAGAAACAACGCAGTCTGTGTTGCTGGGATGGGACTTTTTAGTAAAAAATCATGCCCTGCTGAATATTAGTCATGCTAAGTTACAGTTATGGGACATTTCCATTCCACTTCTTACCAGCTCAGATTTTGTCCCTACATGCTGCAATGTGTCTCTGGCTACAGACATGACACTTCCGCCCCTCAGTGAGTCAATTGTGCCAGTTAAGATTGGTTTTGCCTTGCCCAGGTGTCTAATGACTTTATGGGGTATTTGGAACCTAATGTGTCGGAGTCTGCCGGTCTAGTTGTGGCACACACACTCACTAATGTGCACAATGGATTGACTAAAGCACGAATTTTGAACCCTACTGGACAGGACATTCCTATAAAACAGGGGACTCACCTGGGTGAGTTTTATTCTGTAGCTGATTCTGATATTCATCCCTTTCAGCAGGACGCAGGGGAAGGTGTTGTTCCTAGCCCATGCAACACAGCTCCTCCAATATCTTTAAGTGAATCGCCAATTTCAACATGTGATAGGGCAAAACTGGCGGCACTGTTGCAGGAGTACAGTGACATCTTTAACTTCTCAGGGAAAAATACAGGAAAATGAACATTGGTGCAGCATCATATCAGGACTGGGGAACATGGCCCTATTAAGCAGCGCGCATACCGTGCATCGCCTGAAAAGAGAGCTGAGATAGAGAGACAGGTGGTGGGCCTACTAGCTGAGGGTGTCATTGAAGAAAGCTGTAGCCCCTAGGCATCTCCAGTCATGCTTGTAAAAAAGAAATGTGGTGCCTGGCGCTTCTGCGTTGATTATAGACGCTTGAACAGTATAACGGTCCAGGACTCTCATCCTCTGCCACGTGTGGATGACACACTGGATGCATTAGCGGGCTCCAGATGGTTCAGCACATTGGATTTTTCTAATGGATTCTGGCAGGTAGAGGTGGCCGACCAAGACAGAGAAAAAACAGCTTTTACTACAGGTCAG